TGTTAAAATCTTGAATCAACCAAAAAGTAACAAATTAAAGCTTTAAATGCATTTATATTACCCTTTTTTACGTTTTGGAATCAAGGTCTAAGTAAATTTTTTGATTGAGTTTAAAGTCCACATTTGAAACTTCTTGCAAAAATTATAAAAATTCAACAAACTTTAACAATTACGCCCAAAAATTTTAAACTTGTTTTTTAGGACTTTTAGGTATGCAGTTTTGTAGTCCATTAAATTTAAGTACGTAAAAGTGAAAAGTTCAAGACGCTAGGAAATCGCGTTCATTTTTAATAATTTTTGGCTGAGGGTGCTAAGGATTTTCTTCTATATAAAAGGCACCATCCTAAGATAAAACGTGAGTGAATTTAACCCCTACTTGGCTTCTTAATATTTAATCTTTTTTAATATTTAATCTTTATATATGGACCACACTAAAGGCTCCTTTTCATATAAAAATTTGTACGTGTCCTTCCCGTGACAAACGTTGTCCTACCCGTGACAGAGGAATTTCGGATTTTTTGTATAATAAAGCCATAATTTGTTAGTAGTTTTTGCTTTGTTTGTGTTCCTGGTTCTATGTTTTATTATAAGACATCAAGTGCACAGAAAAGTGAAATAAATTCGCAGAGTTTCCGTAAAATATATCTGCTCCAAAAAGCAGGTTCTTTTTTTGTCCCACCCGTGACAGAAGAAATAAATCAGATTTTTCGCATATAAAAGTAAGCTGTTTTTTTTTCGTATTTTGTATAACTCTTATAATAGTCAATTAGGTGTAGCTTTATCAAAATGTAGAATTATTCTGTACTTTATACTTAACCCTTTCGGTACATCTTTTTAGATTCGGGCTTTAAAAATCCAATTTTTTTATTAAATGATCCTTAATACATAATATAATAACATTCAATTTAATGTTTTTCCAAAATGCGATTCTAAAGTGTTTTCTGGAATGATGCCATATGGCATATGGGGTAAAAAATACGCAAAGTTTTTTTAATATGGTATTTTATTTAATTCAAATCAAATTTAACAGCACCACAAAAATTTAATAAAATAAGTTGGAACATGCATAGATTTAATAATTCATTTAAAAAATTTACCAGTTGCAATTTCCCAGTACAAATATATCGTTTTTTGCTGGTGCGGATTTCAGCTCCTTCAAATATTATTGATGCCATATGGCATCATACACATTTAAAAATATACCACGCGTTTATTAGCACTTTTTTAAATTAAATTACAAAGATCTAGCAATATTTGACACTATTTTGGATACTATAGCATATATATCTGTTTTTAATTTATTGAGTTATTTGGTAAAATATAGTATTTTAATGTAGACCTTTCTAAGCAGAAGAAAATCGATATTTTAGTAAAGTTTTAAAATTGAAATTTTTCATCTACTATGGATAAAAATAAGAATACCGTATTAAAATATAGTTTATAAAACTTCCCATTACAGCGTTGCATATGAAAATATAATTTCAGATAAGCTCAATAAAATCTGTGAGTATTCAAAAAAGCATGACGCCATATGGCATCAAAATAGCGAAAGGGTTAAATTTAAACAAGAAAGAAAATTTTTTCTGTACAAATGTCCAACCCGTGACGGTGGAATCGCCCAGCTGCATAATTGCTGAGTTTGCAAAATTGCATTATGAATCCGCAAGATACAAATTAATAAAAAATATTTTATATTTACTACTGTGCCGCTATGTGTGGTCTGCCGTTAATTTGCACACATAGGGAATCTAGACCAATGATTTGATGGTATTCATGGGAAAGTTTATGTAGGTACATTTACATACATATTTTACACTTTGAACATAAATGTGTATGCACACATTTTAGGGTACACTTCTTAACAAACACATTTTTTAAGTTATTATGAATGGTTAAAAGAGACATCTTCTTTGAATTCAGTACTAAAACATGACATTTTAATAGTATTTCCAGTGCTTACCAAAATTTTACGACATTCACATATTGATAAGATTGGCCATTTATGTAAAAATTATTTAATTTTAATTATGTGTTTATAAAAATGCAGTTTATACTTTAACAAAACCCGTATAAATCCAAGGTTCAATCTTTGCGCAACATTAAAAAACAAACAGATTTCCTAGAAATACAAATTTTGAGTATGTAGTTTTGTAGCCCGATTAATTTAAATAAAGTTAGTTAGCTGCGACTTATTGTTGATTTTTAATATTTTTATTTTTTTTGATGAAGGTGATGGTCATTTTCCTCATTAAAAAAAATCGTCGAACATACTTAGACCGACATCGTCAAAAAAATGTCACCCATCAACGGTAAATCCCAGCTACTTGAAACTTGCACTTTATTATAAAATTCAATGAGAAAAAATTGATATAGAAAGCTGGAAATTTTTACGAAATTGTCGATTTTTTTTAATTATGTTCAAAGATTTAAACTTATTTTTCTACAGTTTTTGTTAAGGAATAAACAATATTTTTATAAACAAATAATAAAAATTACAAAATAATAAAATTAATAGTCAAATCTAGTCAATATGTGAGTGCCGTAAAGTTATGATATTTTAGAACATCTCTTTCTTAATTAACGATGACACTGTTTCTATATGAAGCTGATTTCGACATTTTGTTTTAATAAGATTTAGTATCGAAAATATTCTTTCAAAACTTGCCTAGGTATGTGAGGTTGAAAGCTATATTATAATGGTTCATTCAAAACCTTTTTTCATAACGTACAATGGCAAAAAACCGAGAAGGCGAAGACAAAAAGAGAATAAAAAAATTTCCCGCAGTGAATTTTCAGAGCTATATATTTATAGTATTCATCACAAAATTGTACTAAAAAGTACTGCGTAGGAGGAAAGTATATTGTAAACGAAATTGTATCAAAAGAGTACAATTGTACCTAAAATGCCAACACTGATGCGGCACAAAGCAGAACGCAAATAATAGGTTTATTCCACAAGCTACTCGAAGTCAAATTATTTTCAACCTCTCACTCGAACAAATGAGTAAAATCCAGCTGTTAGACTATACTCGATAGAGACAAAAACTGCGGGCACAAATAAGAGTAAGTACATGGTACAATTATTACAGGTATTGTCTTCCCAGAGAGTTTTGCTTCACATCGAAATTCGTGCTCCCTTATTTTCAGTTTGACGCTTTTCAATGTTGATTCTTTTACTTTTTATTTGGCTTTGCTTTTGGTTTTCGCTCAATTAAATTTTTATAATTTTTCAAAACAAAAAAAAACGTTTGAAATAAAGTCAGCAATAAAAATTCTCGATTTGTTTACTAAGCAAATGTTTATTTTGCGGGTTTTGCAAATTAAATAAGTTCTCTGCAAGAAGGTCTGTTTACAAAAAATACGTGGACATATATGGTATATGGTGAAAAGAAATATCCCTTTTTCTTTACAGTAAACCTTTAAGTGTTGGCAACCATGATATTTTAAAAATAAGGCAGATCGGAATATACGCTCTCTGGGAAAACAATAACTATAATTATTGTACCATGGAGTAAGCAACGTGTATTAAACAAGGTGTGATTGACAACTCAGTGCGGCTCTCTTTTAAGGTACTATAATGTCAAAAAGTATAAACAAACGAATTAACCCTTAGTGATGCATGTATCTTGTCAGCACTGATACCCAAGGCTTTTATTTTGATTATAGTTTTGTTTTACTTACATTACCTGGAATATATATATTTTGGCAATAAAATAAAACAAATTGTTTATAAAATCATTTTAGCAATTTTATTGTTTTTAATTGCCCAAGTTTTATGCTTTTGTGCATTTATTTTTATATTTAAATTTTTTAACCTAAACATTATTCGACACTTATAAAAGTATGATTTTACATTTGTTTTCAATTTTATATGAGTGCTTAACTGTAACAATTTTGAAATTAAGTTTTTTTCATGCGAAATAGATTGAGTATAAACGAGCTCGTTTGAAAGTGCTTGGCTCGGACGGACAACCAATGAAATCACTTTCCTTAAAGTGATTTTCACAAACGCGAGATGAATCACGTAGTACAACACCATCACACATCGCTGCTGTCTTAACTCGCAACTAGGTGGTTTAAAACATCGCACTATTTTCGTGTCCTGACTTCTATTGCATACAGCGCACCGTTCAAAAGTTTTGCTCTGTTTCATCTTGGTTTCCTTACATTAAATATTTAAGCAAAGTCGAACGTATTTACTTATTACCTTTATTATTACTTTATTACTTTAAATGCGCTTACTTGCTCTCCTCGGCGGTTTATCTCTTAACAATTTCAAGTTTGTTAAGAAAATTTGTTGCTTGAAAAATTTTTGTGTAAATTTTTTTTAAACAAATTCAAATTTGAAAAAAAAAAAATTTTCAAATGGGTTAACAATTCATTCCAATTTGACATTATAGCCTGTTTCTTATGAGAGCGATGTCATAATCAATCACACTTTGTTGAATACATTTTGGGAGTAAGTATATTTGTGTGTTCTTGTTTTGGTGGAAATTACTCTTAGTCCTTTTTGAAATTAGTGTAAGTACTCAATTGCACTAATTGTTATGGATCATGAATAAGTACCAGACATGGGCGTAGTGAACTAAATTTCAAATATAGTGAGGCTTATTTTTTTCTAATCCCACTAAAAGTAGTGGGACTCAGATTTTTTTTCACTACCACTAAATGCGTTAGTGGTAGTTGAAAAAATGTTCACTAAAAATAAATGCCTTTAGTGGTAATTGAATTTTTTTCCACTACCACTAATGAGTTTAGTGGTAATGTAAAAAATTTTCAATCAATTCAAAAGTAGTGGAATCAACAGATTTTCCACTAAACCAAATATAGTAAAGTAATTAGGCCTTTTCAAGTGATTTTTGGAAATGTATCGGCTTTTGAACATATGTACATTTATTTTCTAACATAAGTACATATCAATTTACAGTGTATTTCAATACAATTACAATATTTCTTTAAGATAAACACAAACACAAATTTCTTCAAAAACTTACACGTACAACGTGTACAAAATTTATTTGATATACATACAGCCGCACTCAGAGACGTTCCTTAAACTAACTCTAACGGGAACTTAACTAATGAGCATTAAATCTGTTAATGTTTCCTCTAAGAGTTAAAAATTATGAAATGAAAAATTTAAGTATGGCCCCAGTTGCGGCCCTTTATTTTTGTTGTGGCTGATAATAGACTTTAATTGCTTTGAACATTGTTTGCTTTCATTAGAACAAGTTTTTCAAAATTCGAATCAAGCAGATTCTTTCTGCGGGGAGCGTTTACTATCCCTGCAAAAGAAAATAGGCGCTCTACAGGAGCAGAGGACGGAATCGGAGTGTTAAATTTAAGGAACACCTCCCTAATAATTTTGTAATTCTCCAGGCAGTTGAGAGAAGTATTAGGATCTACCAAATAAGTTTCAAGCTGCCTTCGAATCTCCTCCTGCTCAGTCGTTTCGGGTACCCCTACTATTAAAGGAAGAGTTGAAATCAATTTACATCGTAAAAGCATTATCTTACTGCTTGCATCTTCAAACTCCAAAAACGAGTCAGATGGTTCTAAAGTTTTTGTTGTTTGTATCGCTAGGTTGGTTGATTTGGGAATGAACTGAGCAGCGTGCTCAATAAATAAATTTTTTAAAACATCCACAGTTAAGTGGGGTGCTGTTCGCTGCAGCACTGACAAAAATCGGAGCTTGACAGCTGGACATGACATCGCCGCTATGATGGCCAAGTTTGCCTCTTCATCTCCTTAAAATTATAAATGTGTAAAATTTCTTTAGCTTAAAAGTCGAAAGCATACCTTCAAAAAATTTTTGAAATCTCTTGTGTAGACAATCTACCAGTTCGCTGCAAACAGAACCAAGCTCACGTATTTCAAAGCTTTCTTGAAATTTAGTTAGTTTGATTTTCAAAGATATTAGGGCAGCAATGAAGTAGCCGAAGTACATATGTTGATCTGCCTGCAAAAAGTCGATGGCACTTGCGATAGGCTCCATTAACTTAGTGTAACTCTCCAAGTACTCAATATCGGACATTGCAAATTTCGTTACATTTAGAGTTGTGCATAAAGCCGATAGCTTGTCCTTGTGCTTTAGAAGGCTTTGAACACTATCAAAGAGAGAGTTCCAGCGTGTTACTGTTGGTGTCTTGAGTGATGAACACAACACATCTCTTATTAGTTCCGCCGATTTCGGACGACCACATTTATTCCAAATATTTGAACAGCTAAATAGTAATAAAAAGAATTTAATTTCAACACAACGTAACACATTTTTACCGCATAAACGACTGCTTGTGGCGCGTATAAAGCCTTTCGTATTTTTTTATAATTTGTGAAAAATCCGTTGTGGACAGGAGGTTCAGTGTATGGCTGGCACATCGAAAATGGCCCGGCAATTCCAGTGAGTCATTCAAAAATTCAAAGTCATCCGATTCATAGTCCTCTGAATCGCTTTCATCATCAATCGTTTTATCTATGTGTGTATATCACAAAGGTAAGTATATAGGGGTGATCCATCTAGACCTTTTTCAAATTTTTAATAAAACAATTGAAACGGAACTGAATGTCTGAATCTTTATTATTATCCGAAAGAACAATCTCTGAAATTTACTTTTAAAAAATAACACAGGTTTACAAAAAAGAAAAAAAGGTTATGCATACATATTAAACCAAACCTACATATATATCCCTATGTTATTCGACACGCTGAATGCGAATCCGAGGTCCGTTAGCCTCCATCACGTCAGGTTCATGGTCAGTTGAAGGTCAAGTAGGAAAAAATTCATTGTATAAACCTAAAAATTCATATATGTATATTGGGTTTTAGATTCGCTTAACCCGAATCCGAGGTTTGTTAACGTCCATAATGTAAGCTTCGAGGTCATTTGAATTTTTCCCTACTTGACCTTCAAATGACCACGAACCTGACGTGATGAAGGCTAACGGACCTCGGATTCGCATTCAGCATGACGAATAACAGGGATATATAGGTTTCGTTTAATATGCATACACTTTTTTTTTGGCAAACCTGTGTAATTTCATTCAAATGTTGGCCGCAGACAGGGCCAACATCACTCGCGTAATTCGCCCATTGCTGGAAAGAGTAATTGAAAATTGGACCTTCGGAATGGACCACCTACAGCGTAGTCGCGGCCAATATTTGAATGAAATTATTTTTAAAAAGTAAAAGATTGTCAGAAAGTCAGAGATTGTTATTTTGGGTAATAATAAAGATTCAGACATCCAGTACTTTATAAAAATTTTAAAAGCAAAGTTCTACATATTACATAGTGATGGGCACACCTAAATACTTTTGTACCTAAAGTACCACTTTGAGTACTAACTACACAAATACTTATTATTTGGAGATGTCTAAATATTCAAGTAAAAAGAACTTAGGACCATATCGGGATTTTCGGGACTTATATCGGATTTTTGGGACTTTCGGGATTCTCGGGAGTAATTTCAGGATTTTTGGAACTAATTTCGCGATGTTTGGTGCTTTCGGGACTATTTCGGAATTTTTGCGACTAATTTCGGATTTTTATGAGTTTCGGTACTATTTAGCAGCTCCTAAATACCTAAGTAAATAGTACTTTGGTATTTACCACAACACATATACCTAAATACTTTTGTACTTTATACTTAGTAAATACAATTTTGCCCATCAGTGGTATTACATTGTCTCAATAAGTTTCGCATCAAATTTATCTTCATTTATTCGGTGAGTAAAATATAATTAGGGTATTCACAAGATGTCGTAAGCGTCGTAATGTCTTAAAGTCGTAAATTTTTTCAATGTAAAATAACGGTTGAAACGGTTTTAAGGGATTTTTAGGGTATTAAAAAAGCTATTTATATATTTTCTATCGGTTTAGCCATATTTTGGTGTGATTAAAAATGCTCTAAACGCATTTTAACCGTTATTTTACATTGAAAAATTTTACGACTTTAAAACATTACGACGCTGACGTCATCTTGTGAATACCCTAATTGTGTCAATTTCTATTTTTTGTGAAAATCTGCATACACCAATATGTAAGTATAAACTCTTTTAACCGGGATTTTCGATTATCCGTGATGAGCTCGGTCTCGAGCAACCCGGATAACCGAAGTTCAACTGAATGTACAAATACAATTTTTCTAAACCATGTGGGACTCAAAAGTTACCTGTTATACCATATTCTCGAAACGCTTTGCAAAAATTGGAGCCATTGTCAGTAATCGTGAGTATTACTTTGTCATTGTTCAAATTAAATTGTGCATGAATAACACTTATCATCTCGGCGATTCGGTCGTATGTGTGGCTCCCTTTAAATCCACGGCAAGCCAAAGCTACTTGTTTTCTCTGGTAACTAAGTGGACATATCCAGTGGCATGTATACCCGAAGAATGATCTCTGACCAGCGGACCATATATCTGCAGTTGTGCAACAGTACTGGACTTTAATAAGTATATCAGCTGTATTTGACACCCACTCTGCGTGTTTATGGTTGAGTATATTTGCAATTGCACGCCTACTTTTAACTTTTAAATGACACCCTCTGAATAGACTTTGAAATTCGGGCTTTTCAACTGTACTTAACGGACTATATGTAGCTGCAAGAAACATTAGCACCCTCTCATTAAACTCCTTGCTCTTTGTGTCACATTTATTAATTCTTTTCAATTCAGTAAATTGTTCATATTCGCTTTCATGATGAATTCTTAAATGCCTAATGAAGTTTGAAGATACACCCAAAGAGCCTTTTATCTTCGATGAACATATTTTACATGCAGCCAAGATGCCCCCCATTTTTTTCAAGTACTCTGTTTCATCTCTCTTTATAAAATATTTAATTTAGAAGAGATAAATATAATTATAAAACTTCCTTACCTTTTGCACCACAGTGAAAAATCTGTTTTCAAACAGAATACTGTTTGTTCCTTTAAGTTGAAGTTGATTTAGTAATTTACCTATGCCTTCATCATTATTTTGGAAACTTCTATAAACAAAGTAGGCTTCTAGTATTTTCCATAAAATTTGGCCACATATGCATTACAAATAGAGGTGCTTATTTTCCACTTACCCAGGTTCTTGCATCACCTTTCTTGTTGTTTTTGACGGTGCCGTTTCAATAATAGCTCCCTTTCTTTTTAAAAGTCGAGGAGCACACGTTTTCAAGTTGCTACTACTTGGACTGAAAGTAGGGTCAATTACACTATCGTCACTATCAAAATCGAATGATTCCATTATATTTATTTATACATATAACTTTAAACAAAAAATACTCAAATACAAAAAACAATTGATCCACACGTGGTTATCGTTCACCAAATCAGTAACCTTATTAAGTGCAACGAACAGCTGAATAGTTTGGTAAAACCTACCAACAATTGGTGTAAGATCGCCGTTGGTCACATGGTAATCCGATCACTCGCCCAGTAAACACAATCTCTAACGCTAAAGAGTTAAATACTTATTAATTTAAATTAGCGTCTTGCTTGCACATTATGCTAAACTAAACCATTCATAATCCTTAATGTTTGCTGGGCTTTACATCGTCATGATGCTTGCTAGCGGGAAGCAGAAGCACAAAGCAGAAAAGGAAAAACGTACCGAGCGCTTGTATTCAATACGGCCTATCTGCAAATTAAAAAATGTGAGCTTCTCATTCAAAAGTTTATCTCTGACTTAACTGACATTAATTGTATTAATACTATATCGATTATTTATGGAACTATCTATTGAGTTCCAAAGGTAGAATCAAGAATCAGAAATGACAGTTGAGTCATAGATGGATTTACGGAACAGATAATTAGCTTTCGGTGTGTTCATATGGATAATAAGCCTTCGGTATGTTCATATGGACATACCGATATATGTACAAACATACATATGTGCATATACATATATGTACATATTAGAGGGCTGCATGAATTCATTCAAACTTCTAGCCAAACAGAGTACAGTAGATTTGAATATTTTACTTCACATACAAAACACTCAGCGTTTGGAATTTTGTAAGTTATGAATATACACAGCCCGAACTTTTTTTTCCGGGCAGAAATGTGCAAGAAGTCAATCTGAAATAACAGTTGTTGTTTGTTTACATCCGAGCGCAAATTTTGTAAAATACCAAAATGGAAAATAGCAGAAAAGTTTCAGAAATGTAGGTATTTGCTAATTTTATTAGCCATATAAGATAAATACACATAAAATCAATGTTTAGAGCTGATTTGTTGATTCCGGGCACTAAATGTGTTTTTTTGCGTTCCTCACGCTCTGGGCACTTTTGGCACGATTTGACTTATTTTTAACACTTGTGAGAGAATAACTTATTTTTACGCTCTAATTACCGAAACAGCCCGGAAAGCGTGAGGAACAAAGCTAATATAAAGAAATGTTTCAAATTTTAAATTTTGTGGGAAAACGCAATCAAAGTTTGATCAATTCATACAGTTGGTATACCAAAAGATAGATGGAAAGACACATATCTTCGCCATTTTTGGGAAGTTTAGTCATCTGTTAGGCTGAACATATTCTCCTCATCAAGCTTATTAATTGTATTATGAAATCTCCAAGAACGTAGTTTTTAATTACATTTCTATATTATTAAACTTGCGATATCAGTTTTTCCTTACTACCAAGCATTAGTATTATTTAGTGGAAACACGGCTTTTTTCCACTATTTGCAAGATTTAGTGGAAATAGTTTTTAAGCCATTAATATTAATTTAGTGGACATTTTGTCAGCTCCAATATCACTAGGCTGGGAGTGGAAGGCATTGTGCACTACCACTAGAAATAATAGTGGTAGTGAGAACACTGATTTTTTCCACTAAAAATGTTTGTTCATAAAATAAACCAGCTCCACTATCGCTATAGTAGTGGTAGTTAAAAGCATAGTGCACTCAAAGATTAATGCACTACGCCCATGTCTGATAAGTACACTAATTTTATTAGTACTCAAAGCCGGGCTCTGATATGTATTGTTCTTTTCGATTCCAAAGTACTCGCCATTCCGATTCAACCCTTGTTAACTTTGAATACTTCAACTGGCTGACTATGTATTTCATCGAGCTATTTAGTTTCTGGGCAACTGGGTTTAAGTTTTCAAATAAGGTTAAATTGACTACACAAAGAAAAAAGTAAGATGATTTTGTCAATGTTATTGTGGCTATTAACATTTAGTTTTAATATTGTTATTGAGCTTTGTACCACGATTATTTGATTATTACTTTCCATTTTTCCTAATAAAATAATCTTGGTACAAAGCTCAATAACAATATTAAAAGTAACATGATTTTTTCAAACAGCGTCATTTCCAGGGTTTCATTTTGAACAGAAAAAGTATTTTATAAAGCATTTTCACATTATCGTAATTTACAGTTCATTCGTAATTCATAAATAACAATGCTGAAATCAAGTAATGAAAAATTGGTCAATAAATGTGAAATTCGCGAAAATTCAACCAATTTCAAAAATTTGCTATCAAAATTAAAATTTTTTTTATCAGACTTTTTAAAAATGTTTTGGGCATGCATTTTTATAGCGAATTTCATTTCAGTATAATAAGGTGCAAGTTTGAAGTTGTGCATTTTCTTCGA